TTTTTACAAAGTGCTCGTAGGTTAACAAGAAACGTAATGATCCAAGAAAACATCGATCCAAAAGAGGGCTTTTGATCTGGAAAACCGGAGATAGATAAAAACCCTAATTTGAAACAACAAACGTAATTCTTGTAAGGGAAACAAAACATCGAAAGTAAAACCCTAAGATGTATGAAAACAGCGACAAAAGAGGGATTTTTCGGTTTAAAAATTGAAAACTAATCGAAACTCTGATTGTAGAGAGGAGGTTTCGACTTTAAGAAACGAAATTAAACCCCCTCAAATCGAAGAAAACAAAGATCCAAAAGAGGGATTTCGCAAAATCAAAATCTTGAATAAACAAAAACCAGGTGAAATCGAAGAACCTTAAGAAAACACGAATTAAGAAAGAAATTGGATTACCGTAACCAACAATTAAATCGAAACTTTAAAGAAAAAACACAAATCACAAGTGAAAAAAATCCCTCGAATCAGAAAAAAAAAACAAAACCGCATCAAAGGAGAGTTGCGTATAATACACGAACCCTAACAAGTTTAAAGGAAGAAACAACCTACCGGCGGCGATGGTGGCCTTTTGGAGAAAGAAACTCTGAATCGCTCTCGAGAAGAAGAAATCAGGAGCGAGAGAAGAAAACAAACAATTAGGAAATTAATCGCAGGACACTTTAGTGACCGTTGTGAAAGTATGTGCCGGTCTCATTAAATAATTGTTTGTTGGGCTTAAATGAAAATTATCAGGCCCAAATATTTCCTTTTTATGAACATTTCCTCCTCTTTTTTATTCAAAAAACAAATTCTTTTACCTAAGCTTTTTATTGCTGTTGAGATAAAGATTGGAACTTGATGGGTCACACTGATGTATATGAGTTTCTGGATCCCTGATGATCACGAGATGAGCATGTGTGACTATCTTGAGGTGCTACAAATCTCTCGAAAGAAGTAATCATGTAATTGGTAGTTAAATTTCAAAGAAAGTTGATCTCTTTGTTTTAAGTCCACTCTTAAGTTCATCTGTAAGGTGTTGGTCTTAAAGCTTATGTCTATCTTGGTCAGAGAGATGGTTTATGGGGCCAATACCTTAGGTTTCTCGGTATTGCCTTCTCCTACAGCTTTGAGTTTCATGGTTGTTGTAGAATCTCTCTGTTGCTCTTTGCAGGTTCTAGTAATTCACTTACTCTTTTGGAACAAGTAAAACTAGTGACATGAGATGAGATGATGTCCAAATTGGAGATATCCGGTGCTTGCATCAGCTGTCTTCAGTCCATCAACACTGCTTCTTGGTTTCTCTAGCTTCTTGGGAGGTCAAGCTAACGGGTTGCTGAATCTGATTGTTACTCATTCTTGTAATGTAATGAACACAGAATAGGCTCCTTTTGCATCATTTTCCGTCCAAGGCATTTCTGAACACCGAGAAATAAATCTTGATTGCAACAAAGATTGATCATGATGCTTATTATTACCGTCGAAAATCATGTAGCATTAAAAAAAAAAAGCAGCTACCACTAATCCAAGCCAGAGGAACATTTGGTCCCTATAATCTTTAGACGTGGAGTTCTGACTTGGTAAGTGCTGCTCTGCATCCCCGCCTCACGTTATCCATAAGCCACAGCCATTCGCTTTCTCGCATCACGGGCCTAGAGTTCGAATATGTATACAATTGAATATCTCTTTATGTTTATGTCACTATAGAAACAAGTTATGGAGAAGAAAAGTAAAAGGACCTGGTTTTCCCAGTTTGTGCAGGCCGTGACAATACCGAGGAGAAGAGTTTGCAGAACAGCACCGGCTATTATACCGATCCAAAGACCAGCACCTCTCAGTTGAACATAGAAGGCTAAAGTCGCTGCAATTGGTATCCCCCAGAGATAGTAAGCTCCTAAATTGATGTAAGCCCCTACATGTTGCCATCCACATCCTCTTGCAATACCTGCAAACCATTAAACAACAGTTAGACACAACAGGAACAGACATGAAGACTTGGACCTGTGTTGCAACAACAATACCTTGTGTATGAGTAAAGAAATAGGAACAAGTCTCGGACCTGACAAAACTCCTTGTAAACTGCTCAGTATGAGAGAAATAGAGACCAATGGAGCCATCTTAGCAACATAGTCGACGGTTTCCTTGTCACTGCTGAAAATGAGGCCCAATACATTCCTGCCGACTAATAAAGACGTACTCACTATCAATCCATCCATTAATGCAAGAGACATTGCTGCGTAGACCACGATATGTGCTGCTCGAGAGTTTCCAGCTCCTAATTCATTGGAGATTCTTGTGCTGCACAAGAAAACACCTAGTTGTGAACATGAGACCATATAGATCCCTTGCACTTATGTGCTGCATAGTTGGTGACTAAAGCTCTTACCTTGCAGCAGCACTGATCGCAAGCGGTATCGAATAGATTGTCGCGATTGTTTGGAGACTGCCCAACAGTTCGAATAATATTACGTTTTGGCAAATTCAAGATCATGAAAAAAAATCAAAATGCAGATATTGCAAGAGGGAGTACCAGACAGAGAGCACAGAAGTCTCCAGTTCTGGATTGGGTAAGAGACCAGAGAGTAATATTAGAAACTCATAAGACCACCACTCTAGGCTGCAACAGTACCATAAAAGAGTTTTCAACAACAATAACAAAAGAATGCGAGAGAGGCATTGAGAAGTGAAAAAAGGCAGAGAGAAAAGTGAAAGTACCAAACCATAGCCGCGGAAGGAAGAGCGTATCTAAAGAACTNTCNAACTCCATCGAATATCTCCATGGAGAGAGGCGCGCGTGTCTCAGAACAAGCAGAGGAGAACAACATGAAAGATNCAAGAAGAATAGCATAGAGCCAGTTTGACAAACTAAGAGCCAATGCTCCTCCAATATAACCAAGACCTGACTTGTAAACCAAAAGCCAAGAGAGAGGAATATGGAGACAGAATATAAAAGAAGAGGCCATGAGTAGAGGTCTAAGTAAGCTCTGGTTTTGGAAGTAACGAGTGAGTGGCATTATAATAGCGTAAGAGAAGAGTCCAGGGATGAGCCAAGAAGCATAATTCCCGGCTCTGTACGCAATAGAAGGGTCTTGACCAAGCAAAACAAGAAGCTTTCCCATGTTAAACCAAATAAGAGAGAGAGGGAGACACACTAAAGCAAGACAGAACATAGCTGTATATGTCTGAACACCTAGTTTCCGATATTGTTTAGCTCCATAAGCTTGACCACTCAGAGTATCTAACCCACCTGACAATCCTATCTACCAACCACCACAAGTAACAAAAAGGTAAAAATCAAAACTTTTCATGGTTCTTGAAACAGTCAATTAGAGGAGGGAACAAAAAACATACGATGAAGCTGAAGCCAGTGACATTGCAGAAGCAGGAAGCGAGAGCTGTACCAGCGAGTGAGAGTTTTCCGAGGTGACCCACCATTACCATTGAGATGATCTGCCACATATATTGAGCTATAACCACTGCAGCCATTGGAGCTGCGAAACAGATAAGACGCTTGAGTTCGTGTGTGAATGACCCGTCTCTTAGATCTCTCCATGTCGCTTTCTCGACTCTGTCTACAGGCAGAAGCAAGTTTTCCTCGGTGGTGGTGTTCTCCGTGTCCGCCATGGCGAACAAAGACAATCTCGCCGGAGAAAGAGAG